AAATACCTACTACTTGTGATTTACGCTGACTCCAGGGAAAAGGCTGAGCAACAATGACAGAGGTAAATATAGAAATATTAGTGTTATTGGAAGATATTTTCTAATTTATCCAAAAATGTCCTGTAGTTTCATCTTTTTGTTTGTTTGCATGATTGAATGATGGTCCAATCAACTTTTAATAGAAATATTTCAAAAGTATGGCTTTTAGGAGATTTTCGCCTATCTTTGGCATTTAGTCTTCTTTTGATCCTGACATTTAATGTGGAAATAATCTTGTAGGTCCCTCTCTGGGCTAACCCAATCAGTTTTGGTCATCCAGGATTTAGTATCTGAGGTTCTGATCAACATGCCTACAAATTGATATAGGTCAGGTAACCATGGGTCATATGTACCCAAGAAATCCAAATTCTTCTATGACTATTTGATGGTCTTCCTTGGGTTTGGGGAAATTTTTAATTATGGTTCTTAATTCAACTTTAAATTCTATGGCTAGTTGCGTACATAGCTCATGGGAAGGATGTATACTTACTAGCAAGTGGCATTTGGGTTTTTAGGTGCATTGTTAGGGGACAAACAGGGTCTGGACAAGGAGAAGATGAAGGAGGAGTTGCAGGAGACAGATCAGACAGAGAAGAGGGAAGAAGGAACACTGGATATGAGAGGCAACTAGAAGAGAATGAAGGAGAAGACTTACTATGGAAATTAGTCTAGATTATTGTTTGCCAAATTGTTCATTAGCTTTGACTGAATATTTTTGTGAAATGATTTTTAAGCATAATTTCATTTCGACGGCCTTTGCAAACCAGTAAAAAAAAAAAAATGCCATATGAAAAAATGTCAACATCACTTGTAATCAGGGAAATGCAAATCAAAACTACAATGAGATACCATCTTACACCAGTGAGAATGGCACATATTAAAAAAACTAACAACAAATGTTGGCCAGGTTGTGGAGAAAAAGGAACTCTCCTGCACTGCTGGTGGGAGTGCAAACTGGTCCAACCACTATGGAGAGCTGTGTGGAGATTTCTTGACCTACTAAACATAGAGCTTCCACATGATCCAGAAATTCCACTCCTAGGTATTTATCCAGAGGACACAGAAACATAAATTCCAAAGAGCACCTGCACCCCTATGTTTATAGCAGCACTGTTTACAATAGCTAAGATTTGGAAACAACCCTAATGCCCAAAAATAGATAACTGGATCAAGAAGATGTGGTACATATAAACCATGGAATATTACTCAGCATTCAAAAAAGATAAACACATGCAATTTGCAGCAACATGGATGGCGCTGGAAGGGATCATGCTCAGTGAAATAAGCCAGAAAGAAAAAGAAAAATACTGGATGGTCTCATTCATAGCAGGAATCTAGAAAACTTAAATAAGGGACCAGGAAAAAGAATAACTATAAGAAAGAAAATATCAAACTCAACAAACAACTATGAACAAGAGACACTCTATGGGGTATGGGGGGCGGGGAAAGGAGGGCTTGGGGTAAAAATAAGGGGTTTGTAATTGTATGGGGAATATAAAAACAAAATTTAAATTTAAAAAATGCCAAATTGAGTCAGAAATTTTGTTCTCTTTTTTAAAGCATCTTTCAAATGAACAATTTTGTTCAATTCAGTGTTACACAGAACAGCTATTAAAAGCCAGGTGAAAAAACTAAAAGTTTCTTTCACCGTGCAGAAGATTTTTAGTTTCATGTAGTCTCAAATGTTTATGTTTTGCTTTTCTTGCCATTAGAGATGAATCCACAAAAGACATCTCTGAAACCTGTGTCATAGAGAGTTTTGCCTATGTGTTCTTCTGTGTATTTTATAGTTTCTGATCTTATATCCATATCTTTTCTCTCTCTTGAGTTGATTTTTGTGTATGGCGTGAGAGAGGTTTCCTAGTTTTATTCTTTTGCATGCAGCTGTCCAGTTTTCTCAACACCATTTGTTGAAGAGGCTTTCCTTGTTCCAGTGTGTATTTTTAGCTTCTTTGTATAGATTAACTCCATAGAGGTATGGGTTTATTTCTACATTCTAAATTCTATTCCACTGGTCTTTGCTTCAGTATCCTACTGTTTTGATTATTATAGTTCTGCAGTACAGCGTGAAGTCTGGGAGTATACTACCATTCTTTTTTTTTTTTTTTTTTTTTTTTGGTCAGGATGCTATGGATGTTTGGGGTTAAGCCCCAAACTTGGTGGTAGCCACCTCCAAATTAAACAACCCACACCTCCAGGTGGGTGGAAAACCAGAGAGAATTCTATGAATCAAAACCAAACTCTCAGGACACACACACACACAGAGATGTTAGTTATATTTGCAGAGTAGGTTTATTAGAAAAGGGACAGAAAAGTAAAGGACACTTGCATAGACACAAGCAGGCAGAAAGAACTTCTCCAAAAGGGGCAGGTTTGCTGAGAGGCCTGCATGGTTGCTGGCAGGCAGCCTTGCGGAGAGCTGCCTCTACTGAGGAAGGTCAGTGAGAAGAAGCCCCGGCATGGTACAAGTCACCGGCAAGCACGAAGGCTGCTGCCTTGCAGAAGGAGAAAGTTGGTGAAAAGAAGCACCTGCATAGTCACAGGTGGGCAGAAGGGCTGCTGCTCCATGCCAGTGCAGAGACTGCACTGATATAGTCTTCTTCTCTTTGGGAGGGGCTCATTCCTTTGTGGAATGGCCTGTTTGCTGCTGATTTTGGACAACTGCAGAATCTGAAAGGGACAGAAGATTCCAGGATGGGCCCAATCTCTGTATTTTTACCTTCAGATCTGTGCTTTCTTGCTCCCTATAGCACCATGATACCTGCCTGGGTCTTATGACTTGTGATAAGGCACTAGTGCCTAAGGATCTTGATTTCTATAGCTGGGTTAATGGTCACGTTAATTCCCTCTACCCCCACCTCATTGTGTGAGTCAGGCTTTAATCTAGTGATGCCTCCTTTAGGCTTTTATATTCTTTCCTCCATCATATGCACAAATAAATCTTTAAAAAAAACTTTTTTTTTTCCCTGCATTCTATGCTATTCCAAATGCTCCTAACTTCATTGCTTAAAGTTAGGACAAAGTCTTGAAGGGTCTTAGTGCTCTTCAAATACCTACAAGGCTGTCATGTGGAAGAAGGATTAGGTTTATTACTATGTACCCAGAGGGCAGAACTCACATTAGTGAGTGGAAGAGAGGCAGATTTCAATTTAGAATGTAAAGTATCTTTCTAATAATGAGACACTTGCTTCCAAAAGAAGGGGTTACCTTGTTAAAGATACACTTCCTCACTTCTGTATTCAATTTTTAGCCAGTAGTGTTTCAGCAGGATTCCATGACCCTATACCTCAAGACAGCACATGAACCAGTCAGGTCAGCTTACCTCAAAAATTTTCATAACCTTCAAGTTTGTGAAGTTTTGTTAAATTCTGAAGAGGCATAGATATTTTAATTACAGCAATTTAAAATCATTCAAGTTCTGAATGAAATTATTATGTTAGAGTCTCAAAAACAATAAAGTTAAACTCTATCCCTATATTCTTCTTTAAATTAGTATGTGTGGGTGTGGTATGATAACAGACTTCTGAGGAAGTGTGATCTTATCCCCCTAAGTCATATACAGTGTTGTAAACCAATGTCACTTCAATAAAATAAGCAAAATAAATAAATAAATAAAATTAGTCTTTTTGTCCTTGTGTCCATACATCTGTAATAACATTTTTAAACTGAAAATTGCCCTAATACAGCATAACTCAATCTTCCATCAGTACTGTTTTCTGATTATGCAGTTAAAAAACTATATACTAAATAAACTGTACTCATTTTTAAATGTTTTAATAAATTTCAGTGAGGTTTAAAAAAACCTCCTTTTGAATAGCAAGTACTAGGATTTTAATCTGTAATCTTAATTCTTTGAATACAATCTTTTTCTTCTTTGTGACTTATTAATGTTTCTTCAGCTAATAAAACAGCTTCTACACCTGAACTGTAATTGTTTTGAGTTTCTCTCCAAAGACTTCCAAGGAATTACTTCTCACCCTGCCCTTTATCTGCCCCCTTTGACTGTTTAACTCTAATCCCTTAATTTTTGCCAGAAAGGTATTTCCTTTCACAGACAGGCTGTAGTTTCTGTCTTTTGCAAAACAATAGAGAATTCTAGGGATACTCCGGGAACCGGAGAAGTCATCGCAGAGGCTGCCAGGCCAGTCGCTGGGGCAAAGGAAAATGCCCTCCGCATAAATCCAATTACTTCAAGTCGTTTACAACTTCTGGGCCAAGACTTCAGGCGATGTTCTGAATTGTTCTTTTTACTACAGGATTTTTTTTTTTTTTTTTTCATGACTGTACGTATTTACATACGAACACATATGGCGAGGGAGAGTGAAAGCGATGACGTGAGGCTCCGGCTGGAGACCAGGAGGTGACACGGATATACAGCAGGTATCTGGGAAAGGCTTCGACAGAGGGCAATTGGGAGTTAACCACCGTCTCTCAGATGAGCTGGAGTTCTCTGCAGGTAGACTGGAAAAGCGAACTCGTGCACCCTTTTTGGAGGCGGGTTCTGTTGCTTTCTATTTCTTCGCTTCAGGCAGGGTGCACAGAGATTTGAAAGGGACTGAATGTTCTGCTGTTTGGTTGGTCAGGTTGACTCGTTTTTCTTTGAGGTTGAGGAGGAAGTGATCGGTTGAAATTCTGGCTGGGTAAGTGGGGGATTCTCAGAAATGAGGGGGAAGGAAACGGACTAAGCAGCCTGAGAACACAGCAAGAGCCCCCCAACCTGCCCCCGTATCTAAGGCCCCCCAACTCCGGCCAGTAACCTCCCGTGGAGACCCCAGGAGGCTGCATCAATATGTGACGGGCCCTTCGCCAGCGCGTCGCGAGCGCTCGCCGGCGGGTTTCGTCAGGTACCGCACGCGCAGCGCGGAAGCGGCGCCGGGGCCGCCGGGGCTTCACAGGGACCCGCACGGCGCCAGCCTCCCCGCGCGGGCACCGCCGCTTCGCCGCGGGGGGCGGTTCCCACCATGCCGGGTGGCCCGCGACTCGCGCTGCTCTGCGCGCTGCCCTGGCTCCTGCGGGCGGCCGCGCCGGGGCACCCAGTGCCACCCTTCCAGCTACGCGGCGACCCCCGAGAACCAGCCCGAGGCGCCGATTTCGACCGCGTCTACAGCGGGGTGGTGAGCATCAGCACCGAGAACATCTACTCCTTCAACTACACCAGCCGGCCTGGCCAGGTAGGACACTCGTTTTTCTCCCTCGAATGCCAGGAACTTGCATCCCCGATCTCAGACCCCATTGCTGCGTTTGGTCCCCTGGGAATCGACCTCAGGGACCTCGGGACCCTCGTTCTCTCCCTTCTGCAAACCAATCACTGCTTTGCCCAGCCGCATCCTCCGCTTCCCCGCGCCTCTCTGTCGGCCTTGTGGCTGAATGTTGGGGCTTTGCTGAGGCTCCATTGCCCTCACCAGGTTCAGGTCCTTCCTCCCCCAACCCCCACTCCCGCACTTGCTGGGTCTTTCGCTAAGAAATTCACGATTTCTAAGGTTACAGGGGAAAAGGACAGTACCTCTATTCCTAATGCCCTGCGGGGAGGAAACTCATTTTCATTTGGATGATTCAGCCAGACCCTCTATTTTATTCCGCGTGGGGAGGGAGAGCTGCTCAGAATCTAAAATGGGAATGTGTGAGAATGGACGCAAGCTGCAGAAACTCTGTGTATACAATAGTCATTTCCTGCTTTTCTGTACCGAAGTGCTTCAGGGAAACCAGAAGACACTGCCAAAAGATTCTGGAACTTCAGCCATCAGCTAATCTATCAAGGTTTTGATTTTAAATAAGGTAGATAACTGTGTGAAAGTTCTAGACCTATATCTGGCAAAACTGAAGTGAGAAGAGGGCAGGAAATGACTCTTCCAGTAACTCTCTCTTGGTACATATACTGATTGTATAACCTTAAGAAAATGCACACAGTCAGTCTTTCCCCCAATAGGATACCCTCTGGAGCACAGAGAAAAGAGAAAATTCTCCAGTGTGTAGGTCTCTGGAATTTCTGCTGATATATATGTGTTATATATACCCTCTACCATGCCAATATTCTGACTCCCTGAGGAAATTCCGGAACCAAAAGATTAAGAGACGACCATATGCCTCCCTCTCTCACTTATGATCAGAATTCAGAAATCTGGTAATTTCCAGTAACACTAAGGTGGAGGGAACAAAAGTGCCCATCTCCAAGAGCTCCAAATGCATGTATTGAGCAAGTTCCCCATCACACATAGGCTGTGTGTCATCAAGTCAGCAGAATGGCAGTGTGCAGAGCATTTCCTTTGTAGACAAGGAGGGGGCAATCTTTATGCCCCAAACTCTTATCTTTTGCTCCCAGAGGGTTCTGTGTCAGTAGTGCAGACCAGCTGATACTATACAAGGTATGTTCTCTATACCTGTGCTTAACTCAGAAACAAATAAAAATTTGAAACACCCCTTGATTTCTGAGGTGTACTGTCAGTTCTCCCCTGAATCACTGGTAAAGAAACTCAAATGATGTACACAAAGTGCTGCCATCTTTTTCTTCTGCTTAGAGATAGATTGACGTTTTTCCCCCCAAGATTTATTTTTTCATGAATACAAGAACTGGGGTGTAAGCCAGAGGTATGGGGCAGGGGTGAAAAGGGGTGGGGGTGAGAGGATTCACCAGAGAGTGGGGAGCAGAACAGGCAGATCTACTGAAATACACTGCTGAGGGGAGCAGCGGGCAAGTCAGGAGAGGTCTGCTGCTGTGCCATATGGGTTTCTTCCAGGCCGGACTGAACTCATGCTACAGTGGCTGGCAATAGCTTGACAGTGCTGTCTTTAACCCCTGTGCCACCAGGGAGGCCCTAGATTGTCTTTTTATAATGGTTGTTTTGACCTGTTTGCCCTTAGTATTCAGTGAGTTCCTCTACTTCAGCACAGGTGGCACTGTTTGCAGTAGGGAATCAATAGGGATAACTGGCCTATCCTAAAAAACTAAGATAGTGAGGACAGGACAGAGTCATGTTCGTCTCTATACCCAGGTACCCTAGCACAGTATTTGGCACATAAGCAATTAACTGTTTTTGAAAAAAGGAATATATAAGTAAAGAAAGGCTTAAGGAGTCTTTAACTGGAGCTATTTAGAGATTTTATTTATTTTAAGCTTGGGGAAGTGTGAGACTTTAGATGAAAACATTTCATGAAAAAATTGTTTTTATGAAAATCAAACAAAATTTTTGGATTTCAAAGCATGAAAAATTCTTTTTTTAAAATTTTATATATTTTAGGGCCTCCCCGGTGGCGCAGTGGTTGAGCGCTGGGTTGCGAAGCTGCCCGCGGCGTCTGCGGCGCCGGTTCGATCCCCTGGCTGCTCCCCGGCCACCGGAGGAGGATCCCACATGGCGCGCAGACCTCTCCTGCCGCCCGCTGCTCCCCTCAGCAGTGTACTTCGGTCCTTCTGCCTGCTCTGCTCCCCGCTCTGGCTCTGGTGAATTCATTCACCCTCCCGTGCTTCTGACTGTACCCAGTGCATGTATAAGCAAAACAAACAAACAAACAAACAAACAAATAAATAAATAAAGCATGCCTCTATTAAAAAAAAAAAATTTTATATATTTTACATCATTTTTTTTATAGCAGCACTATTTACAATAGCTAAGCTATGGAAACAACCCAAATGCCCAAAAATAGATGACTGTTTATATTTGAGTTAGATGGTGATAAGCCCTTGAACAAAAATCGAACCAATGTACAAAAGGGTGTCGTCTCTGAGGTTTTTATAACAATTCACTGTTCACCATAGATTTTTTTATTTTAAAATGTCTCTTTTATTTGGTCTTAAACTGAGGCATTTGTCTTTTAATGACATATTCTTCTTTGCCCAAGGATAATCTTTGACTTTATTCATAGCAAACAGTAGTTGTATACCTATAGCCAGTTACATCAGATCTTAGATTTGGATTCAAAAAGTCTATCCAAGCAGCACTATTTACAATAGGTAAGCTATGGAAACAACCCAAATGCCCAAAAATACATATACACAATGGAATATTACTCAGCAATCAAAAAAGAAAGATAAACTCAGGCAATTTGCAGCAATATGGATGGAGCTGGAAGGGATCATGCTCAGTGAAATAAGCCAGTAAGAAAAAGAAAAATACCGGATGGTCTCACTCATAGCAGGAATTTAGAAAACCTAAATAAGAGGTCAGAAAAAGACTATACTAAAGTAAAAATCAAAATCGTGCCTCCCCTGGTGGCGCAGCGGTTGAGCGCTGGGCTGCGAAGCTGCCCGCAGCCTCTGCAGCGCTGGTTCGATCCCCGGCCACCAGCGAGGGCCCTACATGGAGCACAGACCTCTCCTGCCGTGCCCGCTGTTCCCCTCAGCAGTGTATTTCGTCGGTCTGTCCGTTCTGTTCCCCGCTCTGACTCTGGTGAATTCTCTCACCCTCCCGTGCTTCTGACTGTACCCAGTGCTTGTATAAATAAATAAATAAATAAATAATTTTTTAAAAAATTAAAAAAAAATCAAAATCAACAAGCAACTATAAATCAGAGACACACTGTGAGGGGGGCACGGGGGAAGGGAGTAGGATCAAAACAAGGGGGGTGCGAATTGTATGGGGACTATAAAACCAAGGTGAAAATGCATACATTGTGTAAAAATGAAAAATGATGTAAAAAATATACAAAATAAAATTTAAAAATAATAATATCATTCAAATATTAAAAAAAAAAGTCTATCCAGTTGTCATGAACAATGACCTACATATCTAGGAACTCCAGAGGACACTTCTAGCCATGAACATTAATGAACATTACTAGTTGCAGAGAAGAATTACAAAATGATGTGATAGTCTCATTTTCTTGTCTGTAAATTTTCTTCCTGGGCTTTTTAGGCACTGAGGCTCACAAGCTGTCTTCACTGTCTTCCCATCTCCTCTTATCAAATTGACAGGTTTTTGTTTCTCAGAAATCGGTTTATTACACTATCTGGGTGACTAGTTATGTTTCAGTGTAAGCTGTAAAAGAGAGTATCCTGATGAGGAGACTTAAAAAAAACAAAAATTTCTCAATAGTTCAGGATCAAAGAACAGCAGCTTTTGTGTCCAGTGAGAGGTTTTCTGAATTGCAGACAGCAGCCTTTGGTGTTCTCACTTGGCCCAGACAGCAGAGAAGTAAGGCCCTTCCTGTCAATTCTTATAAGGGCCCTAATCCCATCAGAGGGCTCCACGTGTGAACTAACTGCCTTCCAAAGGTCCCACCTACAACCACCATTACTTTGGGGATTGGGTTTCAACATAAAAACCGGAGGGAAGGGGGTAGTGGAAGGCGGAAGGAAGAGGAGACACAAACATTTAGTCAGTAACAGTCACTCCAACAGTCACCTTTCTCTGTGACTCTAAACACAGAGCATAAGAGTGTTCAGTGGTTGACATTACTCCAGTTAAGGATCTGATTTTATGGAGGACCCATCTTCTGCTTGCCTGTACCTGATAATTATGTACTAAATTATATAACGTATTCTGTGTATGCTATCCAATGATAATTACTCTTCAAATGTGGCTATGGAGGACCTGAAATGTGGCTAATCCAAAATAAGATGCATTGTAAGTGCAAACTATACACCAGTTTTTGAAGAGAAGTATGCAAATGTAAAAAATGTGACATTCATATTTTGATTATGTTTAAATGATAATATTTCAGATACATTAGGTTAAATAAAATGTTAGTAAAATTAATTTCACCTGCTTCTTTTTACTTTTTTAATGTAGCTACTAGGAAGTTAAAAATCATACTTGTGGCTCACATTATATTTTTATTGGACAGCATAGCACCAAATATTACAACACTTTAGAGAAGTCATATATCCCACAGATAGCTTTGCCGGAGGAAATGAGGCTTGAAAATGTCATAGTAGATAAGCACAACTTGGAGAGGCAGAAAAAAGGGAAAAGGTATTTCAGGTATGAAAAATGTATCTGATGTCTTTCTTAGCAAGACTAGGTCAGAGGTGGCATGTTTTTTTCTACCTAGAGGCATGGGATGGCTGGGTTCATTTTTTGTGATGTGGCCACCACTGATCATGATTGCCTCATTTCATGAGTTCATTAGATACATCAAGATAATGATACTTTAATTACGTCATTAATTTTTTCCTTTATGATCTATACTACTTGTGTAATGAGAAACTTCTCATCAGCTATTTGGTTACTTTAAGCTA